TGTAATAAGAGCTAATAGCCCATTCGGCCTCGCGGACTCGGCCTCATGGGCTATTAGCTCGTGGTCCACTCGACTTCGAGGTCTAGTTGTTAAGTATACAAATCAGTTGTTATTGCCTTTCAACTAGCAAAACCGATGACTACTTTCGAACGTGCAATCGCCGTTCGACATTGACGTTAGCCATTTTATGCGACAACCTTTTTTTTTAAAAAACAGCTATAATATGATTAATGATTAATGACTTACTTTATTGACCTGTAGTTTTCTGTATTTGATAGGTGTACAAGACGATGTTGGTATCCTTACGAGCAAGCCCAGCACTACATTAGATAAAAGAGTCTTTGGGGTAATCGATCCTATATATCCTATAATATACAACCACTTCAAACAACATTTGATACTCATACGGGATACCGAATTCCAAKTACTAAATACATTTCTTGGTCATTTATTGAGGTTCTTCAAATAATRAGTTTATGTGGTTAAGGGGTGACTATACCAGCTCCGCACAGTCAATTGAAGATCAAATCGAATTTCAAGAAGAAAGTTACAATCGTTGCCAAAAACCTTGGACCATTGAATTATTTGTTTCCTCATTTGCCTCCATCTTTTTTACATTTCTTTCCCTTAGCCCCCTTTCATCAAGAATGTTGTTTCTTCTTTTGGATGGTTGTTTACTATGGCAACATGCTCAAAGACAACAACATTCCATTTAGGGGATCAGGGGGGTTGAAATTGTCTGCGGGTGTTGCTTAAAATGAGGAAATTTGCTTGAATGGTCCAAGGATTTTGTCAACGGTTGTAGATAGTGTGAGCTGAAGTGGACAATTTTTTTGCGTATTTGAATTGGTCCTTTATTTTTTCAGCAACACCGCCATATAACTAACGTTAAAGATGTTTACAAACCATGGCTGACAACAGACGAGACAAGATATAACGAAGTACTKTTTACTGTTGATAAGGAAATTGTGAGTATAGGAACAAATGGTGGAAACTAGCGGTAAACTAGTGTGAGCTGCGTCGGTGTCTCTAAAGCAACAGTTGTGCAAAAAGACAAATTTAACACTGTAAAAAGTAGGTGAAACAACTTACTGACGTTTCGGACGTTAATCCTTCCGCGTCGGAGTAAAGAGAAGAATGATTAATGTCCAAAGAGTCAATAAGTTGTTTTACCTATTTTTTACTGTGTTAAATTTATCTTCTTTTTACACAACTGTGAATATAGGATATTGAGCTATTGAATAATCTGATTGATGTATGTATGTTTTATCCGATTTTTTTTTTTTGATTTCGTGAAATATTGACATAATGATTTCTGGTCCATGAAAGCCAAAGCTTATCTTGTATTTTTTTTTTTTTTTTTTTTTTTTTGATATGTGAAGAAAGTAAGACACGACGCGGTGCACCATGGCTGAATATTGTCATTTCTAAATCACCTCGAACTCCAATAAGCAATGTACAGCGACGCCATTTTGTGCAGCAAAGCATGATGGTAGCTGTAGTCCTCGCACTTTTCATAGCCCCTAAAATATCTCCTTAAAAGCCGTTATTACATTTTCTTGTTACTAGAGACGGCACAGATACTTCTATTTTCGCTTTGAAAAAGAAAAAAAACTTGGAGGACTACTTCAGGGACAAAAAGTACGAGGACTATAACTACCATCATCCTTTGCTGCATCAAAATGGTGTCAATGCACATTACCTATTCATCACCGTTTGCATCAGCACCATAATTTCTACCATTATCACAAGCACGGATGTATTTATGAAATGTCATATAGCACAATAAACCATTTTTTGTTGTTTTCAGTTTAACGCGTTTAAAAGAGATAGGAACTACACGATTCAAAGAGTGATGTCTTTGAGCAACACCTTGGACGCAGTAAGTTACAGTAGATATAAAATGAGCGTTCACCAACAGGGATTTCCGGGATCACTCAAATTCTCGAGCGCTGATTGGTCCAAACCCTAACAAACAATAAGCGTGACGTAAGACGTCACGCTACGGGTCATGGGCTCTAGGGAACTGACGTCATAAGTCACGCAGTTGGAGGAAGTGGCGTCACAATTCACTAAAATAGGGTTTGGACCAATCAGCGCTCGAGAATTTGAGTGATCCCGGAAATCCCTGTTGGTGAACGCTCATTTTATATCTACTAGTTACAAAACTACAATAATTCTTGATAAAAAAAAAAGAAATCATCCAAACAATTGACTAACAATAGTAAACAATGCTATTCAATATTTGAACCAAAGTTTATTGTCAACTGACCAACGAATTTACTTTTAAGTAAATTTAAGTAATTTAAGTAATTTAAAAAAAATCACTTGACTTATAATGATAATAGATTTACGAAACCTACTTTATTTGAAATGCATTGTGTAATCAGTTACTAGAGAAAGCAAAAGAAATTTGCCATGTTTTGTTTCTATCACATTTTACAATGCATTGCGTGTATACGGTAGATAACATAAAAACTTCTTTTATGCCATTTCTACACACACAAAAAAAATTATATAAAAGAGATCTTTTGGAGGCTATACTAAGTATCAGGACTTCAAGTCTCACCATGCTCTGTTCTTCAAAATGGCGGCGCTGTACATTCGCTCAAAAATAGTATTTTTAATATGTATTTTTGTACCTACAGATTTACCAGCAGATCAATATACGTATTGTTATGAAAGCAATAGATATCTGGACRRAAGRTGATGGCTGGAAYCGTACATTAGGAGATCTTTCTAATTATGGAACATACTTGGATGGTATTCGAATGAAGATACCTCATGATAATGCTCATTTTCTTAGCCATAAGGGCTGGCCTGGTGCTGCTGGATGGGCGTATGTTGGAGCTATGTGTGGATCTGATTCATATGGGATTAATCACGTACGTATGTCAGAAGCAATGCGATGTTCCCTGTGATATCTCGAAAAAATACGAATTATTGCATTGTTTCCCCCTCTCTCTGTTGAAGATTGATTTAGGGACTGCAATAAGACAGAAATATCCCCAATCCGACAGAAAACCCTCACAACTAGCCTCCTTCGCAGGCTACTCCACTGAAACGGACATTTTTCTCTTCTTGGTCTTCCTGTGTGTATAATCTTGACCGAGAAGAACTAGTGTCGAGAGATTAGGAATAAAACTGTTTCCTTCCTTCCTATGCCCGTCCCCCTCCGGCAGCTTTTTTTTGCCTTAACACAGGAATCCCACAGTGTAGAGTTGCCTGTCACTCCCTACAACATTGTGGTGATGTGCGGGGTCATAGCTGACCAGTATATTTTTCGGTGGATTGTATATATAGTTCTGTAGTTTAACTTCTAAAATTACTGGTCCGCGACAGGAGATGTCCCATGTAACCGTAGGCTTAGGTTTCATCAGGAACTCGTACAAAAATTAAAAATGTAACGGATACAGAATTCTTTAATATGTTAGTATCGAATGACCAAATGTTCTTAGATTTAGATAATACATGGCCGCACGGAGATACGGATTTTATCTTCCAGTGTTCCACTGGTATCTCAAAATAAACTCAGATTTATATTTATATAAGGCAAGAAGTAGGACAATTTTTTTACGGAGTATCCACGGTAAAGTGTTATTTCAAATGTGAAAGATATCACTTGAGTTTTTGTTTTTGATATTTTATTGTTTAAGTTTATTTAGGTTGACCTTTTTTTAAATTTATGTTTAAAAAAAATCATATTTACCATTGCAATCATTACGAATATAAACTGTTTATTTATATTATAATATGACGTCGTTACAGTGGGATTTTGGCAGCATTATCGGTCCATACATCGTCGTTGGTCACGAAATGGGACACAACTTTAATTTTCCTCATTCTTACGACAAAAGTAAGTAAAAACGATATATACCGGGAAAAATTGTAATCATAAGTAAATTGACAAGTCATACAATCAGAATTGCCTTAATATCATAACTCCATAAAATTCTCTATTCTGATTGGCTGACGAACAGAGAATCTTTCCTTGATATTAATTACACGAATCTATCCCATAAGTCTTTGCGAATGATCTACGCGCGATATTTTTTCGCTATTATGACTGATCTTAGATGAAGTGTAATCGAATATTTTATGTACATAGGTTGAAGAATTAATGAAAAATACCGCTTGTATTTGATGAAAGCGCGCTAATACTACTTGTACTTCGCACTTGTGGTATTAATTCTCACTTTTTATCAAATATGCGCTGTATTTTTCATTAATTCTTTGAGAACAAAGATGGGACTTCCTATACTAATAATTTATTATTAGTTTGAAGGCCATCAACAAACGCCGCAACTTTTTGCGAGTTTCATTTATATTTCATTTTAACACTTTTCAATTTTTTCTCTTTTTTTTTTTACAGAAGAGTGTTATTGTTATTCACCGAAAGGATGCATGATGCAATTTTATCCAAGGTAAAAATTCTCATTGCACATGTAAACTCTAAGTATATATTCTATTTGGTTTGAATTGTTGTAAATGAATATTCTTTTTGTTGTTGATGCTGCTGCTGTTGCTGTTGTTGTTGTTATTGTTGTTGTTGTTGTTGCTGTTGCTGTGGTTGTTGTTGTTATTGTTGTTGTTGTTGATGCTGCTGCAAATATTGCTGATGGTATCGTCGTCGTTGTTGTTGTTGCCGTTTTGCTGTTTTTTGGCTTCACTTGAAAAATATTCAGAGATGCGCTCCCGGTTTTCTGTCGAACTCGAAGCTCTTCTAGCTTGGAGGTTTTGGAGTTGTGTTCGGCGTGGGCAAAAAACACCAACTTTCAAAAATGTCAAATTTATAAAAGTTTTTCACGCGTATATTAGAAAACGTCATTGCAAAGAGTTGCCAATAGTATTGATTATTTATCACATTATCAACAAGAAAACCTTGTCGAAAGTAGGACAAGATATTAATTTGGTACAATACGTTTTAGTCCAAAGATCGTTGGCTTCACGAACTGTAGTCTTAATGCTTTGAAAAGAGTCAACGACAGGTGCCTATACAATGTGCCAACCAAGGTGAACCAATAATTGTGCTATTGTATTTTCTTTGGTCGTTTTTCAGACGTTTGTCCAGGGTTCGTGTAGCCTTCTCGTTGCGTGACGACACAGGGGCGGCTGCTAAAGGAGGCTACAATCTTGGACATAAATACTTGACAATTTTTCGCTTGGGCATTACAAATACTGTATCGTGTGCATAAACTGAAAATCTGTCTGAATGTTCGTAAAAAAATGTTGTCTGTGTCTTTCAAATTGTCTTCCTGTCTTACCTGCCCACGCGTTTACATGTGTGCACGTCTTCTTGATGATATGATCCTTTGTAAGTCATCGCCTTGATTTAGCGCTCAATCAATTTCAATATTCTGATACAGGCAATCAATTCTTACTGTGGCAATGGAATACGTGAAGGCGACGAGGAGTGCGATTGTGGAACACCAGAGGTAATACCCGGGATCCCTGATCACCGATATCAACTTTTGATGGGGTTTTAGTTCTAAATTAAGGCTCAATTTTTCGTTTTTCTTGATATCTTCCTCTCTATACTGATATATCTTTTTGTAACTATCACGACTAGATGTGTAGAGAAAAAGATTCTTGTTGCCTGCCACATGATTGCAGACTGAAACCTACAGCTACGTGCAGTGACCTTCATCACTCCTGTTGTAAAGATTGTCAGGTACACTGCATCGAATTTTCTCTCTTTTATTAAAGGAAAAAGCACAGAAAAGAGCTGAACTACGGCTCTCATTTGGAGGCCGTTTTTGTTTGGTAGGGCGGATGGGCAGGAGGTCGATTGTTTGATTTGATTACCTGAAAAAAGAAGCCCTTTGCATGAAACGGCCACATGGTACAAAATCCGCCATGCTGGATAGCAAAAGAATGTAAACAACTTCAAAAACAAAAGGAACGCAGCCCGTCAAGCTTGAATTTCTTTGTTTTGAACATCCCAGTGGGTAATTTGCCATCCAGCATGGTGGATTTAGTTCCTTGTGACCGTTTCATGCAAAATGCCCGTATTGATTGATTAATTACTGAGCTGGTTTGATTATTTCGTTGAGTGTTCTTGAATTGAATTGAATTGATTATTTCGTTGAGTGTTCGAGAGTGTATACAGTTGATTAGTATAACTCAAGAAATTTCGTTTGTTTTTAGTTCAAGAAACAAGGCACACTATGCAGAGCTGTCAAAACAGACTGTGATGTTCCTGAATACTGTCCTGGAGACTCTAGAGATGTAATTTAGATACTTTAAGCTTATTTATCCTAACAGACATATAGATGGTTTTCAACCATTCCCATGAGAGTGATCAAAACAAAAAGGTCCACCAGTCACGGTGGTGGTTTTCTTTTGTCAGGTCCACCAGCAATGGCGGACATCTTTTGTTTATCTTTCTCTCCTGGGAATGGTTGAAAACCATCAATACAGAAACGTTGTCGGGGAGAACGGTGAACAGTGATTGTAGGAAGATTGCACGACAGAAAGAGGCTCGTTATTTCCTTTCAATTAGCCAACCATAGCTACTTTCGGTCGTGCAATCGCCGCTCGACAATGGACCTTCGCCATTTTATCCGACAACCTTTTTTGAAATAGGTATAAATCATATCAAAGAATTGCATACCATTCGTGCGGGATCCCTGTGYATTTTCGTTTTGGGATTCATTTAGCAAGTCTATGCCATATATGGAAACAAACAAAATGGCAGATTGTCCAGAAGTGTTTTCGCTATAATATCCACAGGGGGCCCAGGCTCAACAGTTGTGTTGTTTTCACGGCGGTGTCAAAGTATTAATTACGGGGTTCGCGGTTCGAGCCCTCATGAAGCCGTAATTTTTTTCTACTTCATTTCTTGAGACTTTTCAAGACTTTCTTTTTCTTTTCTTTTTTCTTTAATTAGTATAAACAGTTTTATGAATAAAGATTGATTTTTAAAGCCATTTTAATATTTTCCCCCCCTCATACATAAAAATAGACAAGGGAGGTAAGTCAGCGATCGAAATTTGCCAACCGGCTCTAAACTACGGCCTCTAAGACACCTAAAATTGATCCAATGGACATCAAACTCCGTACAGCTTTCGATCAATACCTATTCTCTCTTGCCACCAATGTTCATCCTCCAGTGAAAAATGTTTTCCGAGATATTTTAGTCAGAAGATCAACATACTCCAGCCTACCGATGCACGGTACTTTCAACTCGTGCACCAACGGATATGCCTCGCTCTGGGGTGCCAATAATTGAGCCGAAGCGGGGAGAGCAAGGATTCTTGAATTCTTGTTATGATGAACTAGTAAATTTAAGTTTGAATATTTCAGGTTCATAGACAATTAAGAACTCCAACAGAATGCGGACACCGATGTAACGGTGAATAACATTGCGATTTTTTATGAAAACTACAACTACATTACATCACGTCCTCTCACCCCAGAGCGAGGCATTTCTGTAAGTTACGATTTCAATATTTAAAAGTCGAGAAAATCGACAAAAAAACATCTACACCTACAATTTCCAAATAAAGTTAGATTAATCAAATATGGCTACCAAACGAAAGACAACTCTTCTGTGCCAATTCTTTGATTTTATTCAACCGCAGCTTTGTTCACGTTGACTTTAGATTTTATTGTTTCGCGTGTTTTTTTTAGTGCCCTGCCGATGAGTCCATGCAAGATGGAATACCGTGCAATCGTACAAACAAGGTAAGAARACACGCTGTTCTTAGTGCTGCGAGCTTTCATTCTTTCTTGCACTCGGTTACAAAATAGCCAAACTTTGGCTAAATAATAGCTTTGGGATAGACCAAATCGGCTAGAGCGTTTATTGTCATGTACGTTACAACCCAATTCAAATCCCGTAGAATAAAAAAAAAACTTTTGTTTCTAACTATTCAACTGTCAAATGGAAATTCAACAAACAATAAAATTTGCATTTCGWGTGCTAATCTACGTGTATTTACTAGTTGATTCTAGGCAATACTAACGGCAGGGGTGTAGCTGTAAAACAAATTAATCCCATCGAGKCACGTTACGTACGTATTAACCCACAATACTGGTACAAATGGATCTGCATGAGAACTGAACTGTACGGATGTACTGCTGATGAAGGTACTATCGAGAATTATGATTGACAAAGGAATTCTTGACGCATGCGTAGCCTTCGTTAGGAATTGAGTTTTGAATCTTGTGGGTGAGCAGTTAAAGCACAAAAGAGGTTTAGTTTTACACACAAATCTTAAATTGATTTTAGCTTGCGTAACGACGCTACTGAGAGATTACGGTCGCTACACAGGCCTAGTGGTTTTAATACGTAAACGCACGATTAAAAAAAAAAGAGAGAAAAACAATACCAGCACATGTATCAGAAGAATAAGACAAACAAACAAACAAAAAGAAAGAAAAAAAGGACTGAAAGAAAGAAAAATAAAAGGAAGAATACAAAAGATCAGTATGCAGTCGATGGCATTTGGATAAAGGCAGAAACCAGTTTAAAAATGACAAACCTTCTCGTGTTCCTGTTTCTACAAAAGAAAAAAATCGCGCACATAATAGTCTCCTTCACGGTTACCTGCGCCATCTTGAAAGGTAGCCGTGCCTTTGCATCGAAGCGAGACAACCGTTGAGCGTGTAATGATAGAAACCTTCTTTCACATCTACAGACACTTATTCACAGGTTTCTATCATTGCACGCTCAACGGTTGTCTCGCTTCGATGCAAAGGCACGGCTACCTTTCAAGATGGCGCAGGTAACCGTGAAGGAGACTATTAGCAGAATTCATACAGAAAAATGCTAACATCTRTACACTCCTCGCTCTTTAAATAGCTGACTATTTCTTAATCCTGAAAAAGTTAATTAGTGTGTTCGACAGAAATGGAACCTTTCCTTGGTTGATAGGGTACCATTGGGCAGAATTCTATTGTTTTAGGCGACATTTTAGTTTTCTGGCATAAATTAGTCACGCACTTAATTAGTATGCATGACTAATTCTGATAGTTTTTGATTGGTTGGTGATCCCGTTAAGGGATTTAGCAAACTTCCTTAGCAAAGATTTGACAGCTGTCAATCACTAACCTTGGGGACTTTAGAAATCCCTTAGCTATCAAAGTCAAGTGTCAAGATTTTCGGGCTATGAACCATAAGAAATTTGTTTGTTTTGTGTCGCAAAAAGTTTTACGGTAAACGAGTAAAGAATTATAGTTGTAATTTCATAGTAAACATTTATCGTGACTAAATCACGCCTTCTTTAAGTAGATTATTACAACTTTTTCCTCGTGTAAAGTTTTTCCGAAAAAACTTTCACAGTTGTAGTCAAATAAGCGATTTTCTAGTCCTTTTCTTTGTAAATCGATGTGTTCAGCAGGGCCTGACGTTCAAATTTCGCGCTTCGGCCCGAATCAATGAAGCGGAAAATGTCGCCTCATTCTGCCCAATGCCTTGCATAGATAATATTACAATTATTTTTCTGTTATTTTCACAGTAAATCCGAATGTCGCTACAACACTGAAACCATTTGACGACCATTGCATCGTCCCAGCAGACGAGACTTGCAAACTCCAAGAAAACAATGAGATYATTTTTCGATCTCATGACAAATGCGATCAAAAATACCAGGAATTTCGACTGGACGCTAACGGAGTCCTATGGCATGAGTGTAGTCAACGTCGTGTTTGTCCAGAGAGTGAAACACCATCCAACAGCGATAGACTGGTGATCAGTAGCACGTGCAAGGACGATAATTCCAAGTTTGTGAGAACACCAGGTAATTRATTGTCACTCATTCGTTGACTCGCCGATATATTGGGTGTTTTGAATAATTATTCATCMCACATGGAAAGCAAGCCATCTGTTGGATAAGRAGGTGTTGTTATCTGCTTTGATTGCTTCAAAACCTRGTGAAGGTCTATGATGCGATATTAAAAATGARAACYAGTGTTGAGTTATCTMAATGGTGACGACCGTGTTGTRAATCTGATACAACACTAATGTTGATATACAAGGTCAATCACTTGACCAAATAGACAGCCCTTATTGGRGTAGTATCTCATGAATTATTAAKGAGTTTGTTAAAAAGTTTCACTAGTCCACTTGTAGTTACGTTGAGATAGTGTTTTCCCACTACTGATCAAAGTCTTTTCGCAGGAAACTCCTTAAAACATGTCAAGAGCGGCAAGTGTATCCATCCAAGAGGGGGCAGGCCTGGTGATGGTCGTAAACTTGTACTCTACGATGGATGTGACGTAACTCGGCTTGAAATATGGTTTATCAAACCTGGTAAGGGGCTATCCATAAGGAAATTTCGATTTAAGAAAAAAATTTGGCAAAATTTTGAAAAATCTGCACTAAAGCTTTGATTTGTAATCTTACAAAAAAAAAAATGCGCACATGAAGTCCTAAAAAACATTCTTGCACGGACAAAATCTCTAGCGGACAAGACGGCCGCTGTAAAGGAAGCCAAAACAAGGAAAAAGAGTTGACTTGGGAGGACGGTGGTGCGGTACCTGATGTCCTTATGTTCTTTCATTATTAATAAAATATCTCGTACAGATTGTATTCGTCCGCTTGGTATTCAAGACGGAACAATAAGCGACAGTCAGATTACCGCTACGTCTTACAGATCAAACGACAAACCATTCTACGCACGGCTGCATAATGGAAGCTACTGGTGTACTCGACACAATGATAAAAACCAACATCTACAGATCGATCTTGGCAAGGTAGAAGAGGAAATAATAGCCTTCATCACGTACCCTGCGACATCTTGAAAGGTAGCCGTGCCTTTGCAAGAAGCGAGAAGACCGTTTAGCATGCAATGATAGAAATCTTCTTTCGCACCTATTCAGACAATTATTCACAGGTATTTCTAGAAGCGGATTTCGTATGACTGTGCAGCGGCACGGATCACAGCACGGACACGGCACGGCAAGGTCACGGAACCTCGCCTTCTAGGACTTTTCTTTTTTGCACAGTCATGCGAAATCCGCTCTATCATTGCATGCTCAAAGGTTGTCTCGCTTCGATGTAAAGACTACCTTTCAAGATGGCGCAGGGAATTGTCGTGAAGAAAGCTATTAAATAAATTTGTCCAAAAATTAATCTGTAATTCTCTCGCGAAGAACGTTTCTAATAAGCATCCTGTGTTACCATGGTAATTATCATACTGAATACTTTATCATCAGACGATGAGGATAACAAGAGTTGCAACTCAAGGGCGTGGCACCTGGTGGTATGATTGGGTGACGGGATACTATCTGTCCTACAGTCAAGATGGTCAGCGGTGGACAGGATACAGTGAAAGTGGTGATAAGAATCACTCAAATGTAAGAAAATATAAACAAGAAGAACGAATAAAATTACTAGTAATACATATTGAATGTACATTGATGATATACAGACGCAATAAGTAAGGGTTAATTATCGAGAAACGAGGCAATAAGCGATGTAGCGATGCAGAAGCAGCAATGACTAGAACAATTTAAATAACAGCAATGATATTAACGACGAAGTCAATAGCGACCTTAGCACTATTAGCGACCTTAGCACTATTAGCAAACATAATATAATAGCGACAAGACACATAAATACGAAAAGAAGGTCATCCAAAAAGAAAATACTCAAGTTTTGAATTCTCTTTTATGCAAGCTCAATCAAGCATAAATTTGTAATAAATTTGTATTGCCTCCTTTGTACCCAGAGTGTTTGCATATTACAATAGGATCTCAGCTGAATAAGAATAATATATTACATGCTTTCGAGGTTAAAGCTGGATAAATAGGATCTCGAAACAGGAATATTGCTTCGTCATCAACAGCATGCACTTTAAATCAACAATCAATCGATTTTTTTTTTATTTATAGTCGTACTGCTATCTTGGAAAGTGCGCCGAAACACGTGACACTGAGTGCAGAGATCTCTGGGGACCGGGTAAGTTTACCAGTAAATTGCCTCTAGCTTTTTTCTACTTAGACGGCAACAAGAGCAATCGCTACAGCAATGATAACGATAGCAATCACAATGGCAGCGTTAACAACAGCAGAGTAACTTTGATGTCATAGGCCTTTTCTGAGATAGCAGTTTGCGTTGCATTGTGGTTCAAGCTCAGTATAAACATCTTTTCTTCGTTGTGTCAAACATGGCGTTGTTTGTGCTGAAGCTAGACCTCACAATATACTGCAATATGAACGAGGTCTCACTGCAAAAGACAGATTATGAAGCAAGTGGTCTAAGTTCAGATACAAACATCTTTTCTTCGTGGTGCCAAATATGGCGTTGTTTATGCTGAAGCTAGACCACAATGCACTATGATTCTGTAATTCAGAAAAGGTCTATTGTTAGTAATATATTTTGCATTGCCCTATCCAACATCACTTGTTTTGTCTTGTAGTTTCATCCAATATTTCTTTTATGTTTATCGAGCAGCCACTGATAGTGCTTCTCAAGCATGCTGGAATACCCTTAACACAGAGGCTAAAGGTTATGGAACCTGTGACGCGGCGTCCAACTCAACCTGTGCCATAGAGTAAGTTATTGATATTCCAAAAATATAATCAAGGAATGAACAAAGAATCAAATGCAGTGGCAGTACACCTTACGGCCACCCACTTAATACGGGCATCACCGCACATTTCTATTCGGTTAATATCCAATCAATAAGACCACACTGTTAGTAGGGACACTTTTTGAACGGATTAACAAGGTCTAACTCTAAAAGATCAGAGGTACAGTGCCATATGGGATATAAGGCCAGAACTCATGTGAATCAAGTCGGATAACTCTTATGTCGATTTTATTATTTGCTTCATTTTAGGGATGTGTTTTGCGGTCAACTTCAATGCTCATCCCAAGCAAACAGGCCGGTAATTGACTACGGACAAAGCTACAAGAAGATTGTAATGCAAGACTCCTCCAAATGCAGGTATGATGTGGTTATATTTATTTGTGATAACGAACTAATGTGGAATAAAAAGATGATCATAACACACACTATATGTATATATTTATTTCGTGTTCGCGTTTGCGGTCGTGTTCAAAGTTTTTATGGTAATGAAAAATGAGGTGACTTCAAATATTCATTCGGGCTACTTTTCCATTCGTCGGTTTTAAGTTTGAACTTTACAATATCAGAGAACATAAATGGATGTTAAAAAGTAAGGTTTGGCTTACCTATTACCATAAGCAAACTACATAAGAGATGCCAGTTGATAATAGTTGTTTAGGTGTTTATTCTACTTATTGACTGTTTTGCAGTGGAGCTATTCTTAAGCAGACAGACAATGTCGGTCAGGGAATGGTTAGGGATGGTACGAAATGCGGCGATAAGAAGGTACTAAGTTCTTATCATGGTTCTTCGGCTAGGTAAATGGGCAGTATATCTACCAAAGCTTAGTTAATCATCAAGCTGCTTTTGTATCGTCCTTTAGATGTGCATGAAGTCAAAATGCAGGACTTTTCAAGAGTTAAATATCAAATCCTGTCCAGTAATCGACGGCTATGAATGCAGTGGAAGAGGGGTAAGCATACTGGAAACTGTTGTCAACCCCAGCTAACATGCAAAGCGACATAACAAGATTCCGTTTAC